TATCTGCAGTTAGTTACACGAATTCAGATATGAGATGAAATCGTTTAGAGATGAACGGGTTTAAGAGTTTTAACCAAATGCTTTATAAGATAGTATAAATTTGATTATGTTTATCTGCAGTTAGTTAAACAAATTTAAAATGAATATTTAATAAGTTGTACTTAATCAAAATTACTTGTAATCTTGAATTTTAAGTAATATGCATCAATAAACAGTACTTCATGCATAAAAAATGGTTTTTAAGAGTTTTTATCAAATATTTATAATATAATATAGATATAGATTATATATATATATATAATATAATATAGAGAAATTAATTAAAATAGTCATTTTGTCCAATGAATTTTACTTCTTAGCCATTTATCTTCCAAAATAACGAAAATAACCATAAAATCGTAATTGACAGGTTGGTAATTTGTAGAGATGTCAAAATGTTACAAATAAACTTTATGAATTAAATCCACAAATACATACACTAAATATATAAATTCGTTGCAAGTCCGCAGAAATATGTCCCAATATGTTTTTTAATTTATATATTTAATCCTACAATTATGAATCTAGTTTAGAAACTTTCATTTTTCTTACATTTTAATCCTTTGGTAAATTAATGATATATCAATTACAAATCTACTAGAAGAGTATTCGCGTAATGTAACGAGACACATCTCGATTTTAATGTTCTATTTTATTATTTGTCTATGTCGATGTTATAATACGATTTTATGTGTTTTTAAGAAAGAAATGACTAAACTATAAGGGTGGTGTCTGATTGGTTTGAGTTTGATTCCAAAGGTCAAAAGTACAGGAAGTCCCAGGTTTAAATCCAAAAAGGAATAAAAATATATGGAGCTTCACATACGATGATTTCGAGTTATCTGCAAAACAGATGGTCGTTTTAAATTTAAACGACTAACATGACAGATTGGATATACAAGTTAATAAAAAAAAAAAAAAAAAGAAATGACTATTTTAAGTAGCGTGTATATATAGGACCCACGTAGATACGTGACCTCGTGGCCGCTGCTTCTTCCTCAATCTCCGAGATTCTTACACACCAACACGTCTTCTGCATTAAACCCTCCCTCTTTCCGGTCAACATTTTTCAACCGCCGGTGATCTTTGCACCCCCATCCACCACCACCACCACCACCACCACCACCGTCTCCTCCTCGTTTTTTGATTCATAACTAAATTCAAAATGGGAATCGATTATTACAATATACTGAAAGTGAATCGGAATGCCAGCGATGAAGACCTAAAGAAAGCCTACCGTCGTCTCGCCATGATCTGGCATCCCGATAAAAACGTCAGCAGCAACAAAAGTGAAGCCGAGGCCAAGTTCAAGCAGATTTCTGAAGCCTACGACGTCCTCAGCGACCCTCAGAAGCGTCAGATCTACGATCTTTACGGGGAAGAGGCTCTCAAGTCTGGCCAAGTGCCTCCTCCGCCTCCTTCCTCATCCGGACGCACTTACCACCACTACAACAACAGTCACCAGCATCCTAATCCTAACTTTCGGTTTAACCCTAGGGATGCCGAGGATATTTATGCTGAGTTGTTTGGAGGATCTGATTCCGGCGGTGGTACGGGGAGGACTGCTGGGAGGGGTTTTAAAGATTCGAATTTTAGGAATGCCAGCACCGGGGAGAGTTCGTCGTCCAGAAAGGCTCCTGCTGTGGAGAATTTGTTGTCTTGTAGTTTGGCTGATCTTTACAAGGGCGCTAAGAAGAAGATGAAGATCTCTAGGACGATTCTTGATTCTTCCGGGTACGTTTTTATTATTATTAAATTTCATCTGTGAAAATAGAGATATATATTCGGTGCATCGATGATATTATGTGACTTGAATGTTGTTGGAGTTTTTACTAGTTTTCCAATTTGATGTGAATTAGTAGGATGCATGATGTGCGTTTTATATCCCGTTGGTTCATCTGATTTACATTCGAATTTTAGGGCTGGACGGCTTAGCTCATTTCAATCTGCATTAACAATGTTTTCTGGAATTCTGTCCGAGTCATATAATTGTAAGGGGAAGACAAAGACTTATGTAAAGCTGAGAAGTCTTGGCCACACTGGTCCCCCTTTTATATTGAACTCCTTACGATGATGTTCACTCGTGTTCTTGGTTGTTAGTCACCGTTTCAATCTGTATTTGAACTCAGTTTTAGTCCATAGACTGCTTCTCCTCATGCTCCTGACATTCATGGTGCAATTGGATAAGAAGTTTAATCTTTGCTTATTTCTTTTAGGGAAGCATTTACAATACGAATTCCCCTTTCCTCGCTGTCATTTTTATCTAGTTGCGAAAACCAGGATCGGGTACAAAGTAAATAAAAGGATATTTACTTTGCTTTTACCCTAAGTTTCTTAGTTTATGGAGTCTCAAGTGTGTTGAGAATTTCAGTTATTTTACAATGTTAGGTCATAGTCCAAGGATGCTTTTCGCTAGTATATAGGAACAATTGGTACCAAAATTTAGCATTATGGATGCTTGACAGGGACTGTTCCAGTCTGAGCTTTTTGTACATTAACATCTCATATTCTTCATCAAACGGCTAAAGCTTCATGGTTTAGTGATTAGAGTCAAATCCACGGTGGCCTCAAATTGTTAAGTTTTTTCTGTAATACTAGAACTATAATGAAAAATTAGGTCAAAAAAGGACAGGTTCCCTTTAAGGTACTAAATGATGTTCACTCCGCTTTATTTGTTAAGAGCTACTATCAACATATGTACCTTCCTTGAGGCATGAAATGTGCAAACTGATATCAGGGTCTTTGTTTTTCTTATTCACTTTTTTATGTGTGGTTTTTCTTTTCGGGGTGGGGTGGGGGAGATGACAATGTGCTTTTTTGGAGAACAGTTAGGAAGGTAACCATGACTTGCCTATAATGGAAAGTAATGTTAGATAGAGTGGAGTGTAAAGGGTTTATGTAGCTAAATGGAAGTACGCTTGACTATGAACACATGTAGATAACAGTCAAAGTTCCAACAAACTTTTAGTAACCTATTGGATTAGTTTTAAAGAATAACGTAATTTATTTTTCATGAAAGGGAACTAGCTATCATCTGAGTTGGCTTGTATGATCTCGTAATTATAAAATCCTAAGCTAGGACAGGAGGAGATTACAAGAGAAATATATATTTTTGATTACCACTTTTTGTGATTTATCTATTTAGACACTTATTATTACTATAATAATTGCAAGTGATTAAGATTGTGAACATTGAGTATCAATTAAATAGATAAGTCGAAAAATATATGAGATGTTAAACATGAGATGATTTCTTTCTTTTTTGGAATATAATACTTCTTAAACGGTGAGGTCTTCTCTATACACCGGAGTCTTTACTTCATTTAATCTAGCTGACATGTCGGAAAGTATATGGTATGCTAATGTTATTAACATGTTAATAATTGTTTTAATATATGTATCCTAGCCATATTTGGAGTGTAGTAGTGAAATGAAATTCATAACTCAGCTTTCAAATTAGTAATTTAAAATGTTAGTTTGTGCTTCTTAGATGTTCGTTAAACTCAGTTATCAATTGCTTGGGGTAAATTTTTTACGTAGCTGACCCGAAGTAAGCATGACAACGAACACAAGTTAAGAATGTATCAAAATATCAGAAACTTTTTGGGTCAATTTTGATGGATAAAATTGAATTTCTCATGAAATGGTGGGGAATCAAGGAATATATTCTCAGATTATCTATTTGGACATTTATTTAACTATAGTAGTAAGCAATTAGGATTGTAAGATCTAGCATCAGTTAACTATTCTCAAAGTAATTGTTAGACATGAGATGACTTCTTTTCTATTTGAAATACAACACTAACTGATCTGCATGAGTACAATTTTGACTTTTTATTATCAGCAAATCAATTTAATGGATTTAATCATTCTCGTTCGGCTCTTGGAATCACATCCAGCAGCCATCTAGGAAGTAATTTGGAAACTTGGAAACCAAGTACTCAAATTTAAGTTGTAGTGAAGATGTAGCTTGAATGGTAGCCGTACCACCTCTTGGTGGTAATAGTTGGAGGTTGCAAGCTGGCGTCTGCATTTGTTGCCGATTAAAGAATGTATTTGATGTCAAGTTGCTTGTTTGAAATTTAGTTCTAGAACACTGATCCAGATCTGACATGAGCTAGAAAACCCTTTCTATTCTATTCTTAGATTGGTCCATTTTTCTATACTGTATTTTATGAAAGAACGAATGGCTGAAAATAATTGAGTTGTCATATAGGCAAATGAATGAACTTAAATGCGTCGGATGAAAAATGCTCTACAGCAAGCACTCAACACGGGTGATCTCTTTTAGTTATGTTAGTTATTGATAAGGACAATTTAGGAATTGAGTTATTTGTCCAAGTAAAATCTGTTAATAATTTTAGTTATGGCAGTCATGCCTCACATGGATCAGGAATTCATTTTTTCATTAAACTCAGTTATAGTAGGATTTGTACTTGTAAATTGTATTGTTCACGCTCTGGTTCAAATGCACAAACAGCAACAAAAATATTCATAAAAACCTCAATAAGATTAGAGTTTAACTGAAAATTTCACCGTCTCTCATCTGTACCAGTTTATATCCTTTCAATTCATTTGGCTACATATTTGACGTGCTACTTGTAACCTTGGTTTTAAAAAGCGCGATGCGGTCCGATGCGTTAAGGGTCCTGGAAGCCGATGCGCTCGCATCACGCACGTGATGCGCCCGGTATTCAAAAAATATTTATAAATTAATTCTACATATCAATTTCTACCTTAAAAATACTTACCTATCAAAATACTTCATTTATAACATAAAGTAGTTAAAAAAGTGGCATTAGAATCTTAAAAAGTTCGTGAATCGGAATAACAGAAGTACAGAACACACAAACTACTACCATGAAGAACACAATTACACAAGTAAATGCCTAATAGTCCCAATTTGCTGTCGACTTCTGCTTCTTCAATTTGTTGCTGTCGACTTCTGATTCTTCATCGCTATCGAGCTTCTTCTTCTTCTATTTGCTGGCTGTCGATCTTTTGCTGGTTGTCGAGTATCGACTACTGCTGCTGCTGCTTCTACTTCTACTTCTTCAATATGCGATGCGAGTTCGTTTTCTACTTCTTTGCTGGTTGTCGAGTATCGACAACAACTCACGTCGCGTGTTAATTGATATGCAATGCTAGGTCTCTCACAGTGCTACTTCTACTTCTTCGCTGTCGGCTTCTTCTATTAGGTCGCTAACAGTCTCATCTCACGTTCTGTTTTACTTAACTAAGAAGCCCAACTAAAAAGCCCAACTAAAAACTGAAAAGGGAGCCAAAAAACGCAACATACATGATGCGCTGATGCACGCATCGTGTGATGCGTAGGTGATGCGATTGCATCATGGAATCACAATGCATCAGACCCTTTGATGCGTTTTCTTCAGCGCATCGCGCATCACAACGCATAATGCACGCATTTTTAAACCAAGCTTGTAACATTCCATAGTTTCTATGACACCACACATACATAAAATGTACATCATTTTTAACATTCTAATAGTTATGAAATTTATCTTATACATTTTTAACATTCTAATAGTTATGAAATTTATCTTATATGTATAAAACTCCATAGAAACTATTACATAATGACTAACATAGCTACCTTCTACAATGTTCAATGATTACTTAGTAGCATGACAAAATGATGATCCTTTAGTGTTCTGGACTGAGCTCTTGAAACCTGCTCTTTGCTTTTACGTTTTGCACCTTCTTGACTTTCTCCTGAAATGCATGCTATACTTTCTTAAGCATGGGGCTAGTGAGTTCTTGACGTTTGCATATAAGAAAACGTGTCATGTAAAATACAACAATAAACTTTGAAATGTAAAAACTGTTATGAAAAATGGCTATCTATATATTCTGACAATATTAATTATCTTCCTTTCACGATCAAAGATCACCTCGGCCTTGCTGATATGACCATGGAGGCACATATCATTTTACTTTCCAATTCATTACTTAAATTGCTTGCTCTTTGCTCTTCTTCGATATCTTCACCAAGAACCGCATCATAACTATTTTTCTGCATTTGTTCACAAAGAAGCGTATCAAAACTCTCTTTCTTGTGATACGCTCACTAAGAAGCGCACCATGCTTTCTCTTTCTTTTGGCAAACTCCAGAGAGAATCCTGCCAAACATAAAGCAGCTTCTCATAAAAACTTCGGCCATAAATTGCTTTCATAGATAAGCGACTTATGTAAAGCTTATTTGGCCATAGCATACTTTGCACATAAATCTTTTTAGCCATACTTCCAACTTGTAGCAAAAGCACTTAAACAATCTAACTTTACATTACAAACACTTATCACAAGAATTTTCGTACTATGAACATCATCACAAATCATTTGCATAAACTTGATCGATAGTACACATGCATTTCAGTTTTTATAACGGAACTCACCTGGTAGTTAAAACACATAGCCCCTTCTCACTCTTCAGTTGACTTTTGCCAAGTACAAATAGGCTATTTTATTCAACAATTTACATAAATCATGGCCTATTTCTAGATGAAAGAGATGCTACAACCTCCTCTTATGATTGAATACTTGATATTCTTACACGTCTTGTGAAGTTCAATAAGTCTTTACCAATTTCAACAAAGGTGTCGAGTAAAATCACTATATTACATCTAGATATACTTTACCTGAAACAAGAGAAAATGTCAGTTTTCAAAACACGGGCCGTAATTTTCTGGCCTCAAGGCCCACCTTAACATTACGGCGTAAGGCATAAATGTACGGCTCAAGCAAACTTTCAAGCGAACGTTTAAATCCCTTATTTCGACAGAGAAATGACCGTTAACATATTTTTCTTCAAAAATTCAAGAGTTTTAACTCATAAATTTCATTGTCAAACACCTTGAACACTTGGAAACAACATTTTTCCAAAGGACATAAGCCTTATCATCACAAATATGAAATAAATTGTGAAAACATGAACATTCTGGCGAAAGCAAATTAAACTGAAATGACCATTTCTTTCTTCAAATTTCTTAATATTCAAACCTATTCAACTTTAAGAGCTACCATTCTTACTTATTTCATTTATATATTGCATACATAGGGTCATCATATCTACTTCAATTTCTTCAAGAAGATGTGTATTCTTTCACTGGGTTTCTTGGACTTTTTTGATGATTCACCAATTCATGCATATGCATATTTTTGTGTTGTCCTGATCATACAAGCTTAAATCAACACTTATAGTGATGTTTGAACACTAAGACTAACATTTCAACAATAAATTGCTTGACATTTCAGCATAACTTACTTGAATTTAGCTTGAATCTTGTTCATTCTTCCTCTCTAAACCTTCAAACAGCAGCACCCTTGCTATGAACCTTCAAAATTTTCTTGAACTAGCTCAATCTTCTTTCCATATGCTTAGTTTTGTTTGTAAAATAGTTTAAGGAGGAATAGAGTATGGATATGGACTCTTCACTTGATGTTGGATTGCAATTAGTAAAGTTTAGCATATCTATATATATATGTGTGTGTGTGCGTGTCCCCCTTTTTTCATAACTAAAACATTTTTTAGACACTTAGTAAATACAATTTTGGATTTTAAATAACTCTTGTATATGTGTTTTTTCATCATCAAAACTCAAGTGTTACACTACTATCTTTTTCCTTTGCAACAAAGTTACAATACTATTTGTATGTCCAACAGGCCAAGTATACTGCCATTGCAACCCGTGAATCATATTCCATTATTCCTACGTGTACAATTTGGTACTTTTTTTCTATGTTCTAGTTTCTACACATGAACTAGCTTCACATTCCTTAAAATAAAGAAATATGTTCTTTCCTGAACAACAATTACTATAACGGGAACTTAAATTGATTGTTTCACTTGTTTTCTAGTTTTCCTTGGTCACCTCCAATTGACAGTTACCATCAAGTCATGAATGCCCACCAAAGGGCCTTTGGCCTAGCGGTATCGTAGCCTTTGGCCTCCTAGGAAGTCAGGGGTTCAAAGTTCAAACCTCACCAAAGGTGAGGAGGGTGTGTGAGTTTATTTGTTGCTTTTGCCGTATATAAATGCTATATACTTAAAAAAGAAGTCATCAATGCCCTGCATAAAACAAGCTCCCGTTCTCTTAAGTAGGCTCTACGGAATGATATCTATTCATACAGTTGCAAACTTGTCCTCCTTTACCATTCATATGCGCTTTGATTTAATCTTTGGCTAAACTTTGGTATAACATAGCTCTAGCATCCTTGTACTATTGTGAGGCCCAAGGAGTACATATGTGCTTAGGATCGCATGTTGGTTTCTGGTTGTTTGAACTCATTGTATAATATGACTTTTGTCCTTATCATGAAATTGCTTCTTACCCTGAGTGCAACACCGAACTCTATTACCTAAGCTCTTGTTGTTATGTTCACTCTGGATTAGCTTCATGTTTGTTGCACTTGGACTTATGCCATCTCCTGCTTCTGTTCTCTCTTTCTTTCTTCTTGCTGAACTTTGATATAACTAGCTGTAGCATCCTTGTACGACTGTATAGGGACCATTACTACATATGTGCTTAGGGTTGCATGTTGCCCTCTGGTTCGTTTGGCACCTCATTAGTTAATAGGACTTTTTGTCCTTATCATGAGACTGGATCCTACATAGGGTTTAAAAGGGAACTCTACTACTTGAACTCTTGTTCACTCTGGATTAACTTCATGTTTGTCTATTCTTAAGAATTCCAAAGTAGTTGGTGTTTTCGTACTTCTGCCATCTTCTGCTTCTGTGCTCTCTCTTGTTTCTTCTACATCAGGAAAATGGAGAGAACATTGTATTGATAAGCAATGTTCCATGAGTTCTTGTTTTTAGCAGGCAGAGCCATGTGTAATGATTGAATTGACGAGAAGCATGCAAAAATGGAGAGAGTGAGTATTCGCTTTTTGATGTGGTGGTATAAAGGTGGTGACATGCATGCTATTCTTTGACCCCAAGCAATTATGTTAAGCACCTTGAAGGGCGCTCTTTTGTTAGTGGGCATTTTGCAAGTGGGTTTATTTGGGTTAAGTTGTTTGGTAAAGATATGTATGGGTTAGCGATCTTAATTTGGGTTATTTTTTGGTAATTATGAACCAGGTGAGGAATTTTAGGTTTTCACATTTAAGTGAGGATGCATGGTTTGTAGGTCTGGAACTCTTACAGTTTAGGCTGCTCCCATTTCGCTTGCCGCTACTACGGGAATCGTTTTTGCTTTCTTTTCCTCTCACAAGTATGGTTTAAAAAATGTTCCATCGGGTTGATCAGGCTTAACAAGTTTAGCATTGTCAGTCTTTTTAGGGACCCCATTCCCGCTTGATCATGGACATCTATCAATAAACCCGCCAAAGAAGCAAACCATAGAGTACTTAGTACCGGTTTGAAGATGAGTCCTCTATCTCGCGATCTCTTTTGGGTTAATCTATATACCTTTCATTTCCCTCTTACCATTTTATGCATCATTTTCTCCTTTTTTTTGTTGCTAGTTTTATGTGCAACTCATACGGTCTATTTATGGCTTCTCTTATTAATTCTGGAACTAGCCTTTTGGCTAGCTCATACGGTCTTCTTTTTCTTAATAGGCTTGTGTACCTCCTCCTTCTACCATATAATGCCTCAATTTGATGTCTATTTACAAGTCTATATTCTCCAACAACCTTCTTTTCTACTCTTTAGTGCCTGCTATCATCTCTTTTCACACCTTACTAGTTCCCTGGACATCCCAAATCCCTTCTTTTAACCATTTGGCTGTTAAAGATACTTGGATTTCAGATTTCTTTTTTTTAGGGCCCACCACCAATTTTTGACAGGTACTCAATCTAACACAACTTCAAATTACATGTCATTCTTTATAAACCTATGCTGTGTCCAGGTAGGGTGTTACAATCTGTGTGCTTAGACTACATCCCCTTTTTGTTAGTCATGACCGAGTACATCTAGTTAACATTTTGACAACCGGTAAGGTCGCTATTTGCTAGGCGAGTCATGTCTCCTAAAGCAAGTGTTTAGTATGACAACCATCAAATTATAAGCTATTGTAAAATGTAAGTTTTTTCCTCCTTGATTTTTATGACTGTATTATCCAAACTAAACCAAACCAAACCAACCTAGTATATCCCACTCAGAAGTGGGGTCTGGGGGGTTGGATGTAAACAGACTTGACCTCTACTCCAACAGTAGAGTGGCTGTTTCCGTGAAAAACTCTGACTATACTGTTTCTTTTAAGTGCTTCCAATGATTGTAGGAAGTGAGTTTTCAAGCCTGTCTGGAGGCATATACAGTAATGACATGCATAAAACATCCCACCACCAATTAGCTAATATGAAATTGCCTTGTCTTTCAATGTCAACTGCATTCGTAGGCTTTTATCTATTATGATGCTTACTTCTTTCTGTTCCTATCTTCTCTTAATATGATTGCTTAAATACTCAATTTTTTTACATAGACTTGACACATGCTGTATTCACTCTCCTTATCCACAGGGTATCAACCACCTCCCTCAAGTTTTATGTCAATAATCCTGCATTTTTACAGCTGTCCAGCCATATCCTATTCTCTTGAACTAGCTTCCTTTCCCCACTATTGCTCAGTTCTCACACACCCTGAGTGTCAATCAAGTACCTCACTAACGGACTGAAAATGTAACCAGTGTTTTTCCATTACCATTTGCATCTAAAAGGGGGTGAGACCAGGCCTATAGTATGAATGTGTCATGCAGCACTCTGCTAATGGTTTACATGCCACATGGGTTGACTTGTCATGTCCAGACATGTATTTGCGCTGCTACTTTACTAGTAAGTATGGTCCTTCCTAACGCACCACTGTCCAATCCATGATACCATCCATACCTCTAATTTGATGTAAAATCTACAGTTTCTCGTTGCATTCATGATGATATATATTGATCATTTGACCTTTTCTTTCTTCCTATAGAAAGAACTGTTTGAGGAGTCCAACGTTGGCTCATGAATACCGATGTCCACACATATCTTTGTTGGTTCTCTTATTCCAAAGAAAAACCCTGGATGATAAATTATGACGGTTACCATTATCTTTACTTTGTGATGCAGTAAGGTTCGGACTGTGGAGGAGATCTTAACTATCGAGATAAGACCTGGTTGGAAGAAGGGTACAAAGATTACCTTCCCTGAAAAGGGTAACCAGGAACCTGGTGTGATAGCAGCAGACTTGATATTTGTAATAGACGAGAAACCACATGAGGTATTCACAAGGGAAGGTAACGACTTGGTAGTGAATCAAGAAATATCACTTGTGGAGGCGCTGACAGGGAAGACTGTGGAACTGACAACACTGGATGGAAGAAACCTTGTGATACCAGTGACGGAAATGGTGAAGCCAGGGACGGAGATAACAGTTCCTAATGAAGGAATGCCGATATCAAAAGAGCCTAGGAAGAAAGGGAATGTGCGGATCAAGTTCGATGTGCGGTATCCATCAAGGCTGACTAGTGAACAGAAATCTGAATTGAAGAGAGTTCTGGGTGGATCATGAACATTATTATTCTTATAATTTTTTGTGAATTGGAAAGATGGTTTTGAGTGTAGGGTTAGGTTCCCAGGGTGTGTTTATTTTGGGTGGGAATGCATGAGAAAGGGAAGAGTTTATTTGATACTCGTATTTATTACTGTTACTTTACGAATTCCATATCTTTAAAATTCAATCAAACATATCCAAATATCAGGTTTGATATGGATGCTATCTACTCTCTTAAATATCATATCTTATGATTGAAATAGAAAACGCGTTTTTTGTTTTACCGAGTCATGTCATGTACCAGTCTAATGTCACGTCAAATATGGAACTCGTTTTCTTACTGTTTTATTTCGTGTACCAAACACACCTTCAAAGTCAACACCAGATTTCCACTAAAAAATTCAAGTCCTTGCACATGAAACCCAAACCAAGCCCATTATTCTTTAGACAACCCTTCAAGCCCGCTAGCACAAAATCCTGCCGTTGCAACCGCCACTGTACATCAACTAACTTCCTAGCCACATTAGAGAGGGAGAAGACCACGACAAGAACATAGTGACATTTTTGGTCAGAGGTGTTGGAGTCCCACATCACCACATCACCTAGACTTGAACTATTTCTCAAATATATATGTTGGAACTGTTTGGTATCACACAATCACACACAATGAAGAAATAGTAATACTCAAGTATTGGTGCTGGAAAAACTTCATCTTATTCATCTGCAGAATGGCTACTTAAATAGGAATACAAGGAAAACCAATTCAACGAAGAAAGCTAACAAACTCCTATAATCTTGGAAGACTACTGGAAACATTCAAAAGAAGCTAATTATCCTCCAAAACAGGGGCTTATTAAAAAAATAAAAAAATGTGACTAAGTCTGCACGTGACCACCACCAGCTCACTCCAACATATCTTCTCCTAAACTAAAGACTTCCAGTCTTTAGTTTAATTCTGATGTATCAATCATACCGAGCATAGCACACAACTTTTTGAACTGATCAACCTTCAGTGGCTTTGTCATAATGTTTGCAACTTGAGCTAGAGTGTTGCAATACTTCAGCTCTATAACGCCATCATTTACCAAATCACGAAGAAAGAAGTACCTCACATCTATGTGTTTGCTTCGACTGTGCATCACTGGATTCTTCGAAAGCTTGATAGTTGACATGTTATCACAGTTAATAACAGTCCCTTCCTTYTGAGCTAAGCCAATRTGCTCAAAYATCCTCCTTAGCCACAACACTTGACATGCACAGGCTGTGGCAGCCACAAATTCCGCTTCAGTGGTGGAAAGAGTCACAATTGGTTGCCGTTTTGAGGACCACACAATTGCAGCTCCACTTAAAAAACAAACATAACCCGATGTACTTCTTTGATTATCATAATCACCTACATAGTCACTGTCAAAGTACGCAACCAACCGATCACTGCCCCCCCCCCTTTAATAAAATATACCAAGTTCTTTAGTTCCCTGGATATATCGAAGTAACTTCTTCATTGCTGCCATGTGCTGCTCTGTGGGTGCTTCCATGTATCGACACAATTGACCTGCAATGAACATTATATMTGGCCTTGTTGCTKCCAAAYACATAACGCAGCCTACCATTTGCTTATACACAGTTGAGTCAACAAGACCACTTTGATCATCTTTAACCAGCTTGCAACCTGGTACTATGGGATTTCTCACACCATTGCAATCTTCCATATTAWACCTTTYGAGAATTTCACGAGCATATTTACGCTGGCTTAGATGAATCCCTTCTTCAGTTTGATTAACCTCGACACCCAGGAAGTAGCACATCTCTCCCATGTCTGACATGTCAAATTCAGACTTCATAGAGGCTTTGAAATTCTCGATCAAGGCAAGTGTTGTTCCTGTTATAACCAAATCGTCTACATAAATGGAGACAATTAGAAAAAAACATCGTTTTCCTTGAGAAAGTAACCCTCTATCCTCCCGTACCAGGCCCTCGGAGCCTGCTTCAAACCGTACAGGGCCTTTTTCAACCGATAAACCTTTTCCTCTTTCCCCTGCACTTCATAACCGTGAGGCTGCTCTACAAAGACTGTCTCTTCTAACATGCCATATAGAAAAGCACTTTTTACATCTAGTTGATGAATTTTCATACCTCGTTGTGCAGCAAAAGCAAAGATGGTTCTAATTGTATCCCACTTGGCCACCGGAGCAAAGACTTCAGAATAATCAAGACCATGCCTTTGAGCGTATCCCTTCACCACAAGTCGAGCCTTGTGCTTATCAATCTTCCCATCTTTGTCTAATTTGGTCTTAAAAACCCATTTGACTCCGATCGCTGTTGCACCTGGGGGTAAATCGCACAATTCCCATGTGTTGTTCTTCTCGATTGATTCAATTTCTTGACTCATTGAACGCCTCCAACATTCATCTTGTGTAGCTTCTTGAAAATTCGCAGGTTCTAGTAATGATGAGAACATAGCAACATTCTCCTGATGTTCTTCATCACTTAGCGCCCCTTCTCCACTAACATAATCGTCCATCCAAACCGGTGCCCTTGTTGCCCTTTTTTCCCTTTCATCGATTGTTGTTGTAGCTGGAATAACATTTGAAGACCCAATATTAGGTTCACTTGGCAGCCCATCTGAGCTGTTAGGCCCAATTGTAACAACTGGTGGATCGTTTGTAGTGTCGGGTGGACTTGGCCCATCTTCATCACTTTGCTGCTCAACATCATCTTCCCAATCTAGGTCAGAAGAATTAATCGCAGACTCTTGAGACCAATTCCAGGCAACTTCTTCTTCAAACACAACATCCTTGCTAACAATAATCTTGTTGGTAGCAGGATCGTAGAGACGGTATGCTTTGGATTCTTTACTGACTCCGAACAGAACACACTTCAAACTTCTATCATCCAACTTCAATCTTCTTTCTTTAGACACATGGACATGAGCAATACAACCAAACACCCTAAAGTAACTTACAGAGGGTTTTTGATTGCTCCATTTCTCTTCTTTTGTGCAATTTTCGAGAGCTGCTGTGGGGCTACGATTAAGTACATGTACGCACCAATTTGTTGCTTCTGGCCAGAATATTTTTGGAACCTTTCTTGCACTCATCACGCTTCGGACCATATTCATCACGGTTCGGTTCTTTCTCTCTGCCACACCATTTTGGTGTGGTGTATAGCTTGCAGTAAGTTGCCGCTGGATACCATTCTCTTCACAGAACAGCTTAAATTCTGTGGAATTAAACTCGCCTCCCCTATCTGTTCTCAACACTTGATTTGCCTTCCTGTCTCTTTCTCAACCAAAGCTTTAAATTTCTTAAAAGATTCTAAAGCTTGTGACTTTTTAGTCAGAAAATAACTCCAACCTTTCCTTGAAAAATCATCAATGAAATTAATTATGTACCTCTTCATACTGGTTGATTGAGGAGTGATGGGTCCACAGATGTCTGAGTGAACTAGCTGCAGGTGTTGACTCGCTTTCCAAGAACTTGTTTTTGGAAACGAGTCCCTAGTCTGTTTTCCCACTAAGCAATCTGAACAAGTTCCCAACTCTGCATTGATCAGCGGTAGTCCCTTCACCATTTCTTTGTCATGCATGGCCTTTAAACTCTTATTGTTGATGTGCCCCAACCTTTGATGCCAGAGAATGGTAGTATTATCACTTTTTGTTTTGTGACACTCTTCACTGCAGTTTGGTCTAGCTTTAACCATAAACATCCTGTTCGAACTCATTTGAATTCGTGTGATGAGACCCTTCCTCGGATGATATATGTTGCACGTTCCCTTCTTGATCAAGATCTCCACTCCTTTCCTTTTAATTTGACCAACACTAATCAGGTTGTTCATAAGGTCGGGAACATAGTACACATCAGTTAAAATGTGAGTAAGCCCTTCAATATCGAGACGCATATTTTCTTTTCCCATAACAACCATACGCACATCATTACCAAGTCGTACGTTATTACGATACGAATCGTCCAAGGAACAAAACCATTTCTTCTCACCCGTCATATGATTGGAGCAACCCGAGTCCAGAAACCAAACCCACTGTTTTAACGAGCCACCTTCATCTATTTGAGCCATCAAAACCATCTCATCCGTGTCATCATGCTCAACATAGTTAGCGTTCTTCTCCCAATCTGGACATTCACTTTGAAAGTGTCCAAGTTTATGACACTTGAAGCATTCAATGGTGCTCTTATCAAAGAAAGATCTGCCCCGACCTCTTCCTCTCATTCCTCCTCGTCCCCTTCCCCGACCTCRAGATGGAGATCCAYTCGTTATCTTTAAGACTTGCTCATCTTCTTGTTGCCTGATCATACGTTGCTCATGAACCAGAAGACTACCGTGTAACTCATCGATCGTCATGGTGTCGACATAATTAAACTTTGGGCTCAAGGATCTCAGTATCTTAGCAACAACCGTACCTGAGGTCAAGGAATCGCCATTTGCCTTCATCTTGTTCACGATCGTCAAAGTTCGAGCAAGATAAGTGTCAACCTTTTCACCGTCTTTTATTGAGAGGAGTTCATACTCTTTCCTCAAAGCCTGCAGTTGAGCCCTCTTCACCTTTGTAGAGCCCTCATATTTCTACCTCATGGAGTCCCATATCCCCTTCGAAGAACTCTTATCCAAGATAGTTTCCAAGATCTCCCTTTCAATGTCTTGGAACAAATAATTCTTCACCTTTAGGCCTTCAGTTTGGCGTCATTGAAGGCCTTCTTTTGAGCTTCACTTAGATTAGTCACTGGTAGTACAGGAACACCATTCTCCACCAAAGTCCATATCTCCTTACTCCTTAGGAAATTCTCCATCAACAAAGACCAATGATCAAAATGGCCATCGAACTTTGGGATTGCTGGCTGCACATACTTCTCAGAGTTCTCCATCTCTCTTACTTTTTCTCACCTTTTTGACATAAACGAGCTCTTGGAACCGTGGCTCTGATACCAATTGTTTGGTATCACACAATCACACACAATGAAGAAATAGTAATACTCAAGTATTGGTGCTGGAAAAACTTCATCTTATTCATCTGCAGAATGGCTACTTAAATAGGAATACAAGGAAAACCAATTCAACGAAGAAAGCTAACAAACTCCTATAATCTTGGAAGACTACTGGAAACATTCAAAAGAAGCTAATAATCCTGCAAAGCAGGGGCTTATTAAAAAAATAAAAAATTGTGACTAAGTCTGCACGTGACCACCACCAACTCACTCCAACAGGAACTGCTTTTTTCTGCTCAAGGGTTTTTTTGAAGAGTGATCTAGTAGGGGTGTGAAAATATAATGATGTAAAAGTATAGTACCAAAATAGAAATGAAAAATACATTTTTATTTCTTATATTTAGCCATTTATAGAATCAAGTCCTAACTTAGACCAATTAAGCTTTAACCGAGCCTAAATTAAGACTAGGATCATATATAAGGTTTAAACGTCTAGACTAACCATTAATAACTAGTCCTTTCATAAGAAATCATGCACTAGACTCAGTTTTGAGTGTTGTCCAATTAATCTTTGGTTGATACCAAAAAGCTTATTTCTAAATGCCCAAGACAACGTATTGGCTTCTTTCTCCACCATCGCAATGGCCTACAAAACTTTTCTTTACTTTTTTTCCGTCTCAGTTTTTATAGGAATCATATAAGATCAAATAAATTTGAAAGTATAAATTTTCAATTTAGACATTGAAATTGTTAGATAGCTATGAGAAACCCAGTTCGTCCTATTTTCCAATGCTAACCCTTTTTCCGACGAAAGATCTTGTTAGGTTGGTTCCCAAGACCTTACATCCTTCGTTACCAATTTACTCGTGACAATAATTACTTTATTTAATATATATTATATTTAATTTAATTTATTTATTCTCTCTTCTCACCAAAATAATACATTGTTAAAAATTGATCCTTGAACAAGAAAAATAAATGGAATTTTAAGGATCTCTCTAAAACTCCAACGTTATTACTTCGTATAACTCAAACTTCTACATTATATATAATAATAATAATAATAATAATAATAATATTCTACGTTTACATGCATATATATATCAACTTAATTAAGTAATTGCTTGCTTTTCAAACCGCATATTTCTCAGGCTTCTTCTCCATCTCCACCGTAGCACGAGGGCCACCGGCGCTCTCTTTGTACCTATACCACCTTGAACACATCAGAAAGTACCCTAGATTCAACACCCCCATTACAGTTATCAGGAAATAGAAGTAGTCTAATCTACCCTTGTTCAGATCCTCTGGCAACCAGTTCCCGCTCCCCGCCCCTTCTGTCATCCGGTGAATCATCGTCACCAGAAAACCGTTCAAATAACTCGATGCCGCCATCCCACAAAAGAAAAACGCACCCGCAACACTTCTCATGTTCTCCGGAAATTGTTTGTAGTAAAACTCCACCAACCCTATTGAAGTAAACGACTCCGCAAATCCAGCCAAGGATAATTGCGGAATCAGCCAAAATGCAGACATTGATGAAATCTCCCCTCTATGGGGCTCATACCCTAATGTCGGTTTCGTCAGTGCCAGCCTCCTCCGTTTCTCTTCCACCAAGGCCGAGATAAGTGAAGCTACAACCGTCAAGGATATCCCGAACCCGATCCTCTGAAGGAGGGAGATGCCGCCATCTTTGGCGGTGATGCGGCGGAGCTGGGGGACGATGAGGCGGTCGTAGATGGGGACGAAGATGACAAGAGTGAGCATGGTGAAGACGGTGTAGGAAGCAGCTGGGATTTGGAACTTGGAGTTGAAGAAACGTCTGTCGGATTGAAGGGCTTGGAAGACAACGTATTGGGTTTGTTGGGTCATGGCTATGGAGTATGTGATGGCTGCAGTCCATATGGGGACAACTTTTAATACACATTTTAGTTCTTCTACTTGCTGGATGCTGCATAGCTTCCAGGGGTCGGACGCCGATCCATCTGGGTTCATTTCGTCTTCCGGTGTCACGATTGCCGCTTTATTAAGAAATCTGATACAAATATCATCCAATTAATAATAATAATCTTATAAAATCCAATATGATAAATCAGTATTTAATTATTGTATGTGTTACGATTTTCTTGGTTAAACACAAACCATCACGTGTTTGGTTAATTAATTTCGTGGATTAATCTGATTAAGATGACTTTAGTTTAGTTTGGGAGGGTTTTTTACATATAGAAAAAACATCTTTTTTAATTGAGAGGAATATGTTTGTAAAAAACTTGACTTTCTACATAAAATTATCCCTATAAGCATACTGAATAAACTAGGGACGGACCTAGGAGTTTTTGTGCCACTATTTCTTTCATCTGTCGTAGTGTAAAAAATATAGTGTTAAATTCATGGATTAACCTGTCTGTATAGATGGAGAGGACTTTAGTTTGGGAAGGTTTTTTTATATATGAAATGAACATGTTTTTTAATTGGGATAAACATGTTTGTAAAAAACTTGACTTTCCACATAAAACTACCTTATAAACCAGGGATGAACCTAGGGGTTTTTGTAGTGACACGTGCCACCGTTTCGTTCCTCTGTCGTAGTGTAAAAAAATAGGTTCGTGATAGAGTTGGTTTACAAGACTTTTCTTCTACTCCAGACCCGAGTTTGAATTTGATTAATGTCATTTCTTAGTTTTTAGCTTTTAATTTCAGATTTATTATGTTTTTGATTTTTTTTTGCAACAAAAGTCTTGAATAGAGGACTTCACATATAAAAAAGAACAATGAACTAACCAAGAAATCAATAATGATTTTGTAAAAATATCCCTATTCTTGTTTCTTATCCTTGAAATAAACCATTTTTAATATCATTAAATTATTACCAAACAATCATATATATATATATATATATATGAGTGATCATATGAAAACCGCCCTCATTTGTGTAAACCGTGCAAACCACCTTCATCTGTCGATTTCATTGTTTATATATATATATATAGATGAGTGATCATATGAAAACCGCCCTCATTTGTGTAAACCGTGCAAACCACCTTCATCTGTCGATTTCATTGTTTAATCTTATGAAATTTTTTCATGAAATTGTTTAATCTTGTGAAATTGTTTCATATATACTTTTTTTTGATGAAGTTGTTTCATATATGGTTGTGAAATTGTTTCATATAATACTTAATGAAACTGTTTTATATATTTTTCTAACATTAATGAAACTGTTTTATGTATTTCTCTAAAATTAAAATAATGAAGATGATAATATCTATGATTAACACCCTCCACAATAAAAATGATTAATCAACCTCTCATAATTACAAAAAAATGAACAAAATGAAAAATTATGATTGGTTGAATGCGGTTTGCACGGTTTGTATAAATTGAGTGGTTTGCATTTGATCGCTCCCCTATATATATATATATATATATATATATAAAAGCAAATAAACGGTAAGTGTTATTAAAATAATAAATTCAACACGTTCTTTTGGCTTCACTGAAGTAAACGTGTTGGAATTCCATTGGTTAGACAGATACATGCATGACAATTTCTGGCCTCACTATAAAGATTCTTGTAGAAAGATTAAAAGAGTTTCTTGCATCATAACAATATCGATTATTAAATCACTTTTTAAGTGTGCTGTCAGGCACAGAGGAGAGTTTGCTTTTACCGTCTATACATCAATAATGTTACTAATTCCTTAGTCAAAGGTGGCTCATAAATCTGACTTTTGACTTGCTACGTGGAATTTGTGTGTTCCACTGATGGTTAAGACTATGTTCAACTATGACTATGAGCCTTACAAGATTTGTTAATTACACATTTAGTCCCTGAAAAGAAAATGACTTCAAACATTGGCCCTTATATAAAAGCCATTTTTCTAGATCTAACGTTTGGTTTTTTCTAGGAATAAAATCGACACCAGAGCTCTCTATATAATTAATGTGAATGCAATTATATGTAAAGATTAAGAAATGAATATGCCAATAATGCAATCGTTTTCTTCAAGTTTAGCTATTGACTTTTGTTTGACACATCTCTAACAATCCATAAAACGTATACCATCATCAATTCTTGAAGCGTTCCCATTGCAAAACTGGTCCCACAACTACGCTAATTAAGGGACGAAAATGACAATGTCCTATAGTCGGGTAGATTCAATCGTTCGCCACCACATATTATCGCAATCGATCCATAGATAGAAATATAAAATTTGTTATTTAGATGGATGATCATTGTTGGCGAGTGTTGAAGTTGACAGCACAGGTAAAAAGGTATGAACATTGCTAGTCTTTTTCTTTTTCTTATAAAGGAGTAAACATGTAGTGAGAAGGTATTCATGGAAAAAGCAATTAGAAAGTGTGGACATGAAAGCAATTAAACAAGTCTATTATTGACACAGAAAAGGCTAATGATTGAATGTAACATGTGCACTCAGACTACACAATTGACAAACCAGTGTGAAAGATCCATGGTTTTCAAGAATTTTGTATTCCTTTGTGGTCTAAAACGTGTCAACCAGATGAAACCCTAAACCATAATTACTGGGTCATCAATCAATGCATCAATCAAGACTGACTCTCAGTTGTGCTTTAGTTTAAGCATGGATGCATACAAAGAAGTGTAATAAATGATGATGAACTTTAGTTTAAGCATGGATGCATACACCTAGACAGGAATCTTTGGAACTAACTTCCAAGTTATAAAATAATGGAAAGAAGTATTAATTTAAGGGTGGGACAAGATTTGTATATGATTCCTGGTTGAATTGCGAGCAAGAATTTAATGTTTCAAGTTAATAATTACCCTAAGAACATGCAAAAGAATGGCAAGGTGATACCTGAATTGATTCGAATATGGCAGAGAGGAATTAATGGATTTCGGTTGTGTGTAGTTGAAAAGTGACAGGGATGGTTGTTCCGGCAGTTTCAGCCGGCGCTTCTTCACGGCCACCACCACTACCCTCACCATACTCGTGAACGGGCTTCCTTCCGGTTTTACTATCACGTAAATTTTGGTACCACCGAAGAACAGGAAACACGAAATCAACATGAAGATCGCCGGAATTGCTAGTCCGATGGACCAGCTCAAGTCGGACTGAACGTAAACCACCAGAGTAACCGACACCATCTGTGCGAAGGTCAGAGTGAAGAAATACCAATTGAAGAAGCTGTTTATCCCTCTCTTACCGGATTCCGTCTTTGGATTGAACTGATCTGCTCCAAAAGCCAGATTACACGGCCGGATACCGGCCGCTCCGACTATCATTAACGCAAATCCGGTAAGTAGAAATAGCCATTGCAATGGTGTGGCGCTGGTGCAATGACTACCTTCTTTTGATGCACATTCCGGCGGATGAAGTCCTTTGAACACGGCGGTTAAATCGATCAATAGCAAGCCCTGAAATAGATCATAAATCGAGCATCACAACACATTCAAATCAAAAAAATTAGAAATTAATATATTATGTGACAGTTAGGAAGATAAGCACACACAGTGAAGGATGCAATCGAAGCAAAACCCAAAGTTTTGTAACGACCGAAGTAGGTATCGCAAAGGAACGCCCCAAGCAAGGTGGAGAAATTGGTGGTGCCATTGAAGACGTTGAGGAGAGTGGTGGCCGTGATGCTCTTCATGTTAAACACCGTGGTTAGATACACCAACAAATTAGAAATGGTTCCAATTGCTCCCAGTTTCTCAAATGTCTCATTCCCTAACAAAAATTCAATCCAACTTTTACTTCAGTGATCTACAAAATAATTATGATATGAACACACTAGATGGTAACCTTGAGCAATCGAAGTTCATATGAACCGATTACAAACACAGACCTATGATGAAGGGCATAGCTTTAACTCCTCTGTAATTGACTTCAGGTTCTTCTTCTTGCAATACTCTTTGCTCGTCTTTCTGCTTCTCCTCCATCTCCATTTCCATCGTTGGCGAGTGAAGCAGAAAGTGAATGAGCGTGAAGGGAAGTAGGTTGAACGTTGGTTGGTTGGTTGTGAGACTCTCGCTTTTTATATGCATTTATCACCAATTTGAGCATAATGTAGTATTTTAAGGTGACTCAAGAGTTGGGAGGCCAGTAGAAGGTTAAATTCGATTGCAATTTGTGGGTGGACACAAATTTTTTTTGAATACAGTGACATCATATAAAATAATTGTACCTTCTAGAATAAAACAGTTGCACATTTCACAAAATTGATTTAATAATATTGCGAGAAAAATTGAATAATATTAATTATATAATGTTTTTATAATAAAATTAAAAAGGTTAAAAGCCTAATTATTATTATTATTATTATTATGATTATTATTGGGAAGGAAACTATTATTATGGTTAAAATTATAAAGGAAATTAAATTAAAAAAACATAATGATATAATAATACAGGTATGCAGTCAATAAGGTGTATGTAATTAATATATCTTATTTATATTTCCAAAATAACTTTAAATCAAAAAGTTAGTATAAAGTCTAAAATTCATAAATGGATGTCTATATAACAACACTTTTTTTAATGTAACAATAAATTTCAATTTTCTTGGTTATTTTTTACACTTATTCCAAGAAAGCTTGGATATTATAAATGCTTATTTCGAAACTTTTGTATCAAATAATTGCTTTGAAATTTTATTAGACTCCTTTTTGATATTGATGGGTGTTTGGGATTATTTATTTAAAACAACTTATGTTTTTATACAAAAATATTTATCAGCTTATTATAAGTCAGAATGGTTTAACTTTTTAAAAAACTTCTTATTACCGATTTGATACCGGAATAAATTATTCATTTAAACACTCAAAAGTGCTTATTAACGGTGCTTTAATGAAATAGTTGAATATTAAATTTAATCTATATTAAAAAAGTACATTTTCATCATATATTGTACAACCAATAGAAAAGCTTATGTTTGTTCTATTTCCTTAACATCTCAAGTACTTTTTGTTTTTTGTTTTTATGTGTCGACATATTGAAATGATAATTGTTATATATTGTTTGTAACGTTTTTAAAGACAATATGATTTGGGTCCAAACTACATGTCATATTTATTCATAACTTTTTAATTTTTTTCCATTTAGTTGTATTTCATTACTACTTGATTAATTATCAGATATTTCTATAAATAGGAGTTAAATATTGGTAGGAAAAAATATTAGATTGTTAATATACATCTACTCAAGTAGTCAAGTTGTCTCTCTTACGGATTTTTATGTAATGTCCTAAGTATCTGATATCAACCTTAAACAATATATATATATATATATATATTTAAATAACCAAACTCAGATAATATAAACATAGATAACGACATGACATTTGTCTTAACAGTAAGATATGAAATTTTGTCTTGCAAAAACCTTTGATGGGTCTGTGAATATTTGTCGTATCAACGTATTTTGAACTTTTAAATCCACATGATTAATGCGAAGTGATCCCTCTTCAAGAAAATGTCATTTGTCTCATTCAAGATAATTGGTTTACACTCCGCGTGAGACTTTAGTCTCATTTGTATGTATGTTATCTATATATGTGTGCTAGAAGGGTAGTCGTACAATACAACGAGATAAATCTTCATTTTAATGTCTATTTTTTATTCTTTGTCTATATCAATATAATACAATTTAATGTGATTTTGAGAAAACGATAATATTTTTATTATTTGAATGGAATATAAATTTGAAGATAACATAAAAATTTGAAAAAAATAAAATCGATATTAGTATCGAATTAACTATTTAATAGTTATCATTTTTTGGTGTAACTTTTTGTTGATCCTCTCTCTCAGTGATTTGATGATAATCCCTTTTTCCTTTCGATGTATTTCTGTATCTGTAATTTCAGTTCCAGCGATCAATACACTGAGCATGTTCAGTGATCGCTGAAGAACTTGTTTTGAAATTCATTCAGAGACAACGATACTTCAAGAAAACAACACTCACACTAAAGATCCTTCAGCAAACGTCGAAGACTGAAACTGAAGATTAGAGACTGGCGCGTACGTGATCTGAAGCGGTATTCAGTGATTACAAGCCTGTCTAGCTA